GCAAGACATCTAGAATCACATTTATAGTGGAGAAATTGGATTGCTCGTAATATTACGGCATAGAATGCAGCGCCTAAGCACAGAAATTTATTGGTGAAAAATGGAGAAAAGTGAGCATACGAATGAAGGAACATCAAAGGCTCTGCAGAAAAATGGATAGCGGAAAATGAGAAAGAACGGAGCACATCACACAGACTGGACACGAGGTCAAATGGTAGACAACAGAAAGATGGTCCTCATACAGTAAAAATACAACAAAACGGAAGATTAGGGAGACCATTGATATCGTTGAATAAAAGACTAACGAAAAAGAGATTAATGCAAGGCAGGAATGGCGATAATTTTGTCTATTGCTTAATCAACTTAGGAGAAAATAAAGATACGGCAAGATCAGCAAAAAGGAGACGTTTGGATCACAGAGGCAGAGGACCAGCGAGAATGAAGCTGGTGGGAAAGGTTCGGAAATCAAGCGAAGACGTTCTCAGTGAGTGAAGTCTGATCGAAGAAACCAGTACAACTTTGAAATACTTGGGGCCACAATTCTCACATAAATACGGCATTATGGCCAAAATGTACTAGAAATCCATTCGAGATTCAGCAGGCGACAGTGATAGGCGTCCACAGTTGGCTAAAGTTAGACGGATTTAGTTAAGAATACGATCCATGAAAGCATAGTGTCATGTCTGCAAGCATAGGCATCCGAGCGCAGGCGCTCTACTCGGTGATGCGATATTGTACCTGTGTCTAAAAGCTTGAGAAACAGGTCTAGGGATAAAATGTACACTTGGACTGGAGCCGAGTAAAACTGGTCAACCAGAAGGATAAGAAACGGATCTATGGAACCATGAGGAAGATCTAAATAGGAGGTCCGAGTCGTATCAGCAAATCCATAGGGGGAGTAGGCAAACCAATCAGCAGGTTTGTTGATGCCACACTAAGCTTACCAAAAAGGGCACACCTATAGAGTGGAATATAAACAAGTTAGAAGTTGTGATAGAGCGGAAGGGAGAAAAGATTAATAGGGGGTAGGGAGATGAGCACGAATAGGAAGAATAATAGCAGAACTGTTTCGGAAGTAAGTTCATCACGGGGTTGATTTAACTTGTCAATTTGACGAATTGTAGTTTGGTGCTGAGACTGGCATGACTCGCTGATGATGCCGACTAAAATCGCAGCAAAATGTCTGGGATGAACCAAGTCTACGGCCTGACGCTGGAAATTTCGATACCTACGAGTCTAAAGGACTTCGTACAAGCTGCGTCCAACTAAGACGCCCTGAAAACACAAGCAAGTTCAAGAACGAAGTCAGATCTTTGCTGGATATAGTACATTGGTCGATCTTAGTTCCATATATATTTCTGAATTATTTAACGTCTTCTTCTTTTACATATGAATTTTATGTTGCTTGACATTTTTATGTCTCAATATTTCTTCAATATTTACACTCATTTAAATTATGGAGTACAACCTTTGCACATTAGTTCTGTTAATATTCTTAAATAATTTAGAGAGACATAATAAAGTTCATTAAAAATCTCCAATATGAATGCTAACGTCTTTAGGGTCACGTTATTAAATGAACCCTATTGCTATTTCGAGGCCTGTTAATTTTATTATTTCAATAAAATTAATCAGTCCCAAGACGGTTTAAGCAACTTTAATTTATATATAATCCTCCGCAAATAATTATTACATAGCATTCTTTTGAGTCTAACACATAGAACTCATAAAACATAGGAAATCGCATTTTTGAATCCTATGCTTTAAATAAATATACATTTATCTAAGCCTAAGTATGCCTATGTAGTATAGTAAAATGCAAATTCTTATGTTTTTTGTAAATAATTAGTCATAACTATAGTTACTTATCAATACTAATAATCACCTCTGGTTTCTTTGTTGGTATTACTATTAGCATTATCGTTTCACGCGCGACATTTGTGTTTGTCTCTCATTTGTTTATCTCATTTCAACGAGATATTCATGTCTACCTTTAAAAATTATTTGATTTCCTGAACTTTGGAAAGGCACATAACTAATTGGATAGTTAAAAATGTCAAAAAATATTGTTATAGATCTTATATCTAAACTTCGTGAGTTTGTCTGCATTGTAATTTTATTCAGAGCATCCCATTGCTGAAATACGTCATAGATCCTTGGAGAATTTGTTTTCTAAAGTAGAGAGAAATTTGGTTGACTTAAGTGAAATTACCTCAGAGGAACTATGCTTTAACCTATTAAATTGGTTTCAATTCAATGATAACGTGCATGTTGATACAATTCTCTCTTTTTTAAGAAAAATAAGTAACGTATGTTTCTTTTTTCATTTTAAACTTTATTCAGAATGTTGACTCCGCTAAAGTATTAGCTTGCTCTGGCGGTATTTATGCGTTGATCCAGATTAAGCAACTGCTAAATTCCGAAGTTCACAACACATCCATTAATGAAATATTGGATGACCTGTCTAAAATGCCAATTTTTGATGTATCTTCTAGCAACAAAAAGGCATCTGACAAACGTGTTGAAATTAATCTGCCTTCTGTTGAGAATAACTCCACACCGTCCCAAAGAAAGCCTGCCTCCGGCTATTTCGACTTGAGTGGGTCTACTCTCACAACATCTACTGGCACATCAAGTTACCTTCGAAGAGAAACGGGGAACACTCAAGTGTCTGGTGAAACGATAAATATTGAAAATAAAAATTTGTCACTTGATACCTTTCTTGACAGTAATTTACTTTTTCCTATAGCCACAACTAGTCGAGCATGTTGTATTTTTTCCTATAATTGGCCTAACAAAATCGGATAAAAACACCCTTGCACGATCCATGCGGTAATGATCATCCTTATTCCTTTATTATTATTTATTTATTTTAATATTATTATTCGTAAATATTGTATTTCTCATAGTTCGATTTCATCTGCTGGGTCAGCTCATGGCTTAGAGTTCTTTAGAAATGTTGTTCTTCAGGACTTCCCAGCTGAAATATTTCTTCAGCGTCCGATATTTGTTCGGGTAAATATCACTCTCTAATTATCTTCCTCTTATCAAATATTAAACAACACTTTTTTCAGCTTATTAATTCACACTTATCTTCTGGAACGGAGAACCTAATGTATCTTGCTTGCGAGACATTGATTTTGCTTTGTCAGAAACTGGAAGCTCGCCTAATATTTCATCTTGATCCTAATAATCATACCTCAGATGTTGGTCGGTATACTCTTATTATTACTATATTTCCTACCTTTATTATCTTTAATTCATTTTACCTGGCTTCGTTTTAGATTATGCCCTAACTTCAACAACGGATATTTTAAATCGTGATACTCTTACAGAAAAGTAATCTTTCGAATTTAATTTAGCGATATTTTTGGTAAAATTTATAATATTAAATTAGCTTCATTCACATTTATACACCATTAATTTTATTTTTTTCATTTAAGCTAAATACTTATACCCCATTTTTTCGATTTTGCTTTTTCAATTAGTTCTGAAGTCGATTTTGCCGAGCCTTTCCGATATTTCTGCAATGACTTTAATGAAACTACCTCTCATAATCCTTATGTAGATATTTCTGCGAAGCACTATGCTGTGAATTCTTACGAACTACTATCACGTGATTCAAATGCTTCGATCTTACCTCATACCTCCCCTTCTTATTTTCCTTCTATAATCATCTCTGGTCTTAGAGTTAACATCACTACTTCTCATGACCTCGGGCTTCCCGCATTTTGTTTGCATATAATTAAGTCAGCTCTTGATGGAATTGATCTTTGGCTGACCAAGCAACGGTCCAATTTTATCCCATCTATTGGATCAAGTTGCGCCACTCCTGAGGACGGTGTTGAAATGGCATTTCGAAAATTCAATCACAATCTGAACATTCATAAATCGGGTGGTCTTGAACTTGATCTGCTGAAACTACTGAGAGTGGCTTTTAATTTGCTTTTTTTCTCTTTGGATCCCAGTAGTCATCATATTGAAGGCACTTGTACAAACACAATTCTGGAGTCTTCAAGATTACTTGACCATGAGCTTCCTAAACGGGATCTTCTCCGATCTCACAATTTGGTAATACTCTTCGTCAATCGAGTTGTTATTATAATAACCATCCTTTATAGTTTCTTATAGAATATCGTTAATTTTTCTTATGTTTTATATCCTTTATTATTCATACCTTGTCAGCCCTCCTGCTTTAACGAAGTAATGATCCGATGGGCCTCTGTTTTATGTCGTTTATCCGAATCTTGGACTCGAGAACCCCCTATTCCCAATTTTGACCAGCTTTCTCGTGAGCGTCACCTCTTCATTGGACTTTTTGTGCTCCTTTTTCGTTTGATATCAAATCTTTTCACTCCAGAAACGGTAAATTAATAACACTTATATGTGCCTAACTAATCAACTCCTCTAATTAATTATCTTTTTGAATGATATTTTGTCTAGTCTCTGGCTGTTATACCTGTTGAAGCCCAAAATCAGATATCTCTCGGTCTATTAGACACGGTCCTACTATTTACTCACTCGTTCGATTTGGGAAAATTGTTTACCTCGGACGCTCGCTTTCATCTTAATTGGTTTCCTTCCTTCTCTTCAAAAGGTTTATCCTTATTAGTGAGTTTCTTCAATCCACATATTAATTCAATATGGCGCCAATTAATTTCTGTATCGCAAGCAATGCAGGCCTGTGTTTACTTTACCCTGCAAAACAACTCTGATCTCACTTCTGAGCTGAATGAGGTGAGTTTGTCTTTTAAAATACATGTATTATTTGGTGCACCTCTAAATTAATTTTTCTTAAGTATACTATTTGTTGTCCTAAAATAAATATTTTGGGCCATTACTGAAACTAATATAAAGCACTCTATTTCGAATATAGTTTATTTTTTAAGGAAACTAGTTATACACGAACTTTTAATAATATAGTGTGACATTAATTTCAATTTAGTAGGAAAATTTGGTTTAAGGAATTAATGAGTTGGTCTCATCGGAAATACCCTTAGTTCGCAAGCTGCTAGTTAGCTGCTTGGCAACACCGCAAAGGCAAATTGGATAAATTTCTGGTGGTAAGTGTTTGAGACAGGACAGACAGATAGGACCACTACTCGTTTCTTGGTGTCGCCATTCTGTTAGCTTTCTAAAAAGATAGACGAACTACTAATAAACTGGAGCATTAGAACAAGAAAAACGAATAGTATCCTCAGTTATACCTTCTTTCCCAGAATTTTTGAACTCTTTTTCCAGATCAGGAGGCTACAGGGTTTCTTGTTCATGTGTGGGAGACCTGCCTGCAAAGATCTATGAGCCCCAAAATCCGAACTAGCTGAGTGTATTCTTAATACAAGGCGCTAAATAGAATGGTTCAAAGCGCAGTGTCTTGCAGGCTACGAGAATTTCGCACTCAAGCGCGTAAGTAGATAGTCTATAAAAACAGGAGAGGCTGCCAACATTTTGAATAAATGGGAATATAGGATATTTGGAAGGAACTATATGTGATTGTTATATAGACTAAGGGATAGGAAGCGAGAGGACAGAAGAAGGACCACTGAATAAGAGGAGGCTTGAATAACTTTGACTGTGATTATGACTTTTAAACTCCACACGACTTGGACTTTACATGCACACATTAAACAGTATCATATACGTAAAAGTATTCCATTATCACTTTGATTATTTGGGTAAGGAAACACTTGTTTCTAAATTTACTTCCTTTTCATGCATGAACCCCTATATATATATACTAGAACGTATTCTAGACATGAGATAGCCAACCAAGTTATGGAATGACCCAATATGATGGCAAAGTTATGCCAATAAGTTTGAGTTGTTTCATTGGGCCACCCTTAGTATCTTGTCTTATTGTATTTTGTGCGTTTTTTTCGTAAAGTGCTTTCTTGTTCTGATTATGTCTGTCACATGACATACGAAATCTTGGCATAGGTTCATCCGGATAGCAAGTCTGGGATGAGGTGAGAACAATTCACAAATTACTTACAACCAACATTTTCTTCGGAATAAATCACTAAGGAAGTTTAGGAAACCAAGTTTTTATTCGTGGCAAAAATGTCCCTTGGATTATCTGTGCAACAGTGCAACTGAGGATAAGGAGTAATGCAATTAATCTCTTCTTTATGTAATAAAAATTACCTCAGGTTGATACGATGTTAGATAAGGTAGCTTCATGAAAATATTTTTATGGCATTAATATTTATTTATATACTTAATATAATTTTTTAACCTAAGTTGGCATCCGGAAGAGTCAATTCGCCTTTGAAATCGACCATATATGCCGTATATAGTATGAAATAACATCTATTATGTGCTCAGAATATTCGATTCTATTATGCAATTTGTCAGCTAGTTTGCGTTTCGAGTGAAGTTGGCCTTTAATCTTTGTCAACTTAATCTTTAATAACACTTTTAGAGCATTGCTAATGAGAAGATGGAGTTTGCTTGCCTTGCTATCGAGTCTCTCAATTTTACTGGCTCCACCAAATTTGTGACGAGCTTTATCGACTTTCTTGAATTTATGTAAGTCTATTTATCCTTTTTGTGATGACATGCTGTTTTACAGTAGTAGGTTGATCTCGTACTCGCAACATGGTCGTGTTGTCATAACGACTTAGTTGAACTCAGCTTGTTCAAATCCTATTGAGAAATGAATCTTTATTTAAAGCATAGGCATCAAAAATGCGATTTCCTATGTTTTATGAGTTCTATGTGTTAGACTCAAAAGTATGCTTGGTAATAATTATTCGAAGAGGATTATATATAAATTAAAGTTGCTTAAACCGTTTCGGGACTGATTAATTTTATTGAAATAATAAAATTAACAGAAGGCCTCAAAATAGCAATGGGGTTCATTTAATAACGTAACCCTAAAGGCGTTAGCATTCATACCGGAGATTTTTTACGAACTTTATTATGTCTCTCTAGATCCATAAAAGAATATGAACAGAACTAATGTGCAAAAGTTGTACTCCATAATTTGAATGAGTGTAAACATTAAAGAAATATTGAGACATGTAAAAATGTCAAGCAACATAAAATTCATATGTAAAATAAGAATACGTTAAATAAGTCAGAAATATATATGGAATTAAGATCGACCAATGTACTATATCCAGTAAAGATCTGACTTCGTTCTTGCACTTGCTTGTGTTGTCAGGGCGTCTTAGTTGGACGCAGCTTGTACGAAGTCCTTTAGACTCGTAGGTATTGAAATTTCCAGCGTCAGGCCGTAGACTTGGTTCATCCCAGACATTTTGCTGCGATTGTAGTCGGCATCATCAGCGAGTCATGCCAGTCTCAGCACCAAACTACAATTCGTCAAATTGACCAGTTAAGTCAACCCCGTGATGAACTTACTGCCAAAACAGTTCTGCTATTATTCTTCCTAACCGTGCTCATCTCCCTACCCCCTATTAATCTTTTCTCACTGGATCGTATTCTTAACTAAATCCGTCTAACTTGAGCCAACTGTGATTGCCTATTCCTGTCACCTGCTGCATCTCAAGTTGATTTTTAGTACATTTTGGCCATAATCCCGTATTTATGTGACAGTTGTGCCTATCCGTCTCGCTAATTTCGTGGCTGCAAGGCTCTCAAAGTTGTACTGGTTTCTTCGATCAAACTTCACTCACTGAGAACGTCTTCGCTTGATTTCCGAAATTTCTCCACCAGCTTCATTCTCGCTGATCCTCTGCCCCTGTGATCCAAACTTCTCCTTTTTGCTGATCCTGCCATATCTTTATTTTCTCCTATTTTGATTAAGCAATAGACAAAATTATCGCCATTCCTGCCTTCCCTTAATCTCTTTTTCATTAATCTTTTCTTCAACGATATCAATGTTCTCCCTAATCTTCCGTTTTGTTGTATTTTTACTGTATGAGGACCTTCTTTCTGTTTTCTACCATTTGACCTCGTGTCCAGTCTGTGTGATGTGCTCCGTTCTTTCTTATTTTCCGCTATCCATTCTTCTGCAGAGCCTTTGATGTTCCTTCATTCGTATGCTCACTTTTCTCCTTTTTTCGCCAATAAATTTCTGTTCTTAGGCACTGCATTCTATGCCGTAATATTACGAGCAATCCAATTTCTCCACTATAAATGTGATTCTAGATGTCTTGCTTGGATTTCACACAATTGGCTTGTAAGGCAATGGCGTCTTTGACTGTATTTCGGGATGTTAACACTTCGTCCCGTCCCTTACGACCCTGTTTGAAGCTCGTTGAGGACGGCGTAACAACTGATATTGAGTGGCATCATAAAGCTTTTCCATAACATTTGAGACATATTTGAGCTACCGAGGGTCATCAAAATGATTG